CATTTTAATTATCAATATTTTCTTGAACGAGCGTTCATCGGAAGCTAAAGGAAATATGATAAACCTCTTCTGTTGTACGTTCGCTGCATTTGCGGCAGTATGAAACATAGGGCAATGCCAACATTAACCAATTGACAATATATCTTTCCTGGGACAAAGAAAAACATTTTCATGGATTTTTCAATCGCTCGTAAAGGGAATATACGATTTATTTATTACAAAATGTGTTATTTCGTTTATTGCTTCCCGTTAGTATTTTATCATCAAGATCAATAATTACAGAAAACACATAAATATACGTGCAAAATTTAAAAGTCTTCTTAGGCAGATAAAACGCAAACGTAATTAAATTTGCACAAGTTATAAGGAGCAGTAGATTGAGGAAAACAGCCCAAGAGTGAAACACGCAAATTTACAATGAATGTGTTTTCCGTCTGTATATTAGGAGAATAGTGACTGCATATACGCACTCAAAGGGTCGGAGCTAAATACGATTTAGAGATACGCTAAAGATTAAAGTTATCAGCGACTGCCTGGCATACAAGAGGCGACAGTTGAAGATGCAGGTACAATGTTATTGACATACCCAGGGTGATACTTACAATCCACTGATGTGTATATCATACTAGCATTACAGGCAATGCTCGGGAGGATTCGTCAAAAAACTTCTGATAGATTTAGGCGTCGTGAAAGTGAAAATATATATCTTTGAAGAAAAGTAAATATGTAAATCTTATACTAATACAAAAAAAATGTGAATTTGAAGTGAAAAATGCGACGGCAAAATTTCTTAACTTATCACAAGTGATATGTTTTATTTGTAATTAGTTTTAATAATATCCCAATGGGACACTTTGTAGTGCGACTAAATATTGAAGTCAATCTCAACTGCGTTTAAATCTGTCAAAAGTTGTGTTAAAAATAGCACTTACTAATATATAGTTGCATTAATTTGTACATCAATTTTTTTCTATGTATATTGTACTTTTTGTTAAGATTTTTTTGTTGTACACTTATAAGCTGAGACTCAAAAATATAATAATATGTAAATCAAATTGTAAACATCAATAAATTATTTTGATCAAGGATGTATACATTGTATAAATCAAAATATTTTAAGTAGATCAGCATTTAAAACATTTGCAATATTTATGTAATATTTATATGAATAAATCTGTTTTACTTACGGTTTTTCTCTCAATGTCGACTTTCCGACTTGTTTACCTTCAATATAAGTTATTTGTTAAGACAAAAACCAATTGAATACGATGATTAACTGAAGAAAATATGATTTGTTATTGATTTGAATACTTATTGATTATGAATAATATTGATATAAGGAATTGTATACATAAAAAAACTACGAATATATTGTAATGAAATAACATTCACTTGATTATTAAGCAAGTATACTCAAACTAAGATATCCAAATCCACATAATATTTTGTACAAAATCATTATACTGTAATATGGGTCATTAACAAGAGAATGCAATCTTTTAAAAATGTTAAAAAAATATTTACAAAATGGATCCTTTAACATGACCTTTTAAAGCGGTCAAACTGAACATTTTCAATATGATAGAATGTTGATATTGATCATTTCAGAATGAAATGTATGGAAAGTGCATTGTATTCTTATGAGTGTCTAGAGCGTAGTTCAATATCATAATTTCAAATCATAATCACTGTCTATTAAACAGAAACTTATTCTAATAACAGATAATCTGAAAATCTTTCATATTTAGGAAATATCCATGGAAAATATGACTGAAGTTTATTTTTGAAATTAATGCAGTATTAATTTTACAAATATATGTAATTGAACTAACAGTGATTGCCTGGCTTATCAACAAAAATGTCATTTTACTAGCGCAATGCCTGTTTTTATGAATAAAATATTATCTAAAGTAGTTATTTTTCCATTTAATAACTATTTGTTAAAATCAACACATGATTTAAACTGACTAACTTGTGTCTATTTCTTTTACAACAAGAAACTGATCAGACTAGCACATCGTAAACAAAAAATTAAATTATGAAAAATGTATGTATTTTTTTTACATAAATTGAATAAAATCAACTCTATGAATAGAAGAGATTATCATCTTCTCGAGAATTGAACATTTTATGTATAGCCCTAGCTCAATGAGATAGCGTCGATTATATTCGGCCTATTGTTTTACGGTTTAACAAGAGCTGCGTCCCTTGGACCATTATTCTACCGGAACTAAATGCGAGGCAAGCCTAACATGTAGATGGCCATTTGAAACATTACAAATGTTATCAATACGTATCTATTCTAAAAAGAGAGCAGTAAAGACATTTTGATTTTTTTTCCTTTTATGTTATTAGTATTCGTGTAAAGAATTGTATATTTTCGCAAAAAGTGTATTATTTTACTTTTGTTTACAATGGTTTTTGTAACATAAACTAATCACTGGAAAGCGAGTTTAGATACAGAATAAAATTGATATCATCGTCGTATGTAAGATAATGGACACCGTAGTTTAAAACTAACTTTTAGCTGGTCTATATGATTGATTACAAATTTAATAACTGTGACCGGTTTGAGAGCTTGAGTATCCCGATGTTTAAACGGTTTGATTGACACGATACAGACATTCTATAAAGAAGGCATTCTCCTCGCTTGTATTTATATTCATCAAATATCAATCAATGCAAAAAAAACCATTATCATTGTTTAACATTGGTACAGCGCTTCAGATTGAAGTAAAAAAGATAGAAAATTTACAATGTATATCTTATATCTTTTTGTTCTTGTGTTTTTATATTAAACGCTAAAATGCAGACATGTTTGAAAGAGAGGAAAAACATTAGTGCCATTTGGTAATCATGATTTGGTGAAGTTCGTATCTGCTCCTGAACTGAGGCATTTTAACCGTAATTGAATTTGAAACATTACATTAAATGCGATGTGTCTCAGATGTGCACATTTCCTACTCTATCAGTTATCACAACGAGGGGAAACAGAAACCATAATGGCTAGTCAATGATGTCGCCAGCTTCTTGATAAAATGCGTTAGGGAATAAAGAATCGTTATAACAATGATGTAGAAATAAATGCTGATGTGATGTAAAATTCGATAAATATTATAAATCATCGTACGCCACATTCTGGTATGGCCGTAAGTATGAGAAATAATAGATTTGTCCCCGTGGACATTTACAACATATTTATAGCCCAGAAGACCTTGAGATGTTTAATTGGTTTGATGTTCATCTACCCATAGAAGTAACCTAAACATTAATGGGGAATGGTAAATCAGAAACGAGACATTATTTTGATAGATATATATACACGACGGGTCTGATATGCTAAAAGTAATAACAACAAGATACACTTATCGGTAAAAGTGCAAAGATATTTGTTTCCGCTGTAAAAAAAATATGAATGAAATTGTGTTTTGAACGTTGAAAGCCGCATGCTATTGACAACATTGTAAATTCCATAGTCTGCCTCACTAGAATAATTGTTCTTGCGCCATTCGACTTCACAAGTTAAATGTGTTTGTAGGCGTAGGTGTTTATGTGCGGGAGTGTTAGTGTGTGGGTTTGTGTTGTATCTTATTTTGAGTCATCGTTCTTTATCTTACTTGCCCTAGTTTCACAACTTTTTCTTACCTTAAGAAGAGTTCGTAAACTGAAAATTGTCTATAGGAAGATTTTGCCGCAATTTTCCTCAACTTAGATTTAGTACCAAAACTCTAATAATGCATACTTTTGGAGAAACTTTAATTGGGAAATTCCCTTAAGCCAGGAAACATTTGTGTAGACGAGACCTGATCTTATATCGCTTAATAGATGTATTCCTGTCGTCTAATAGTTTTAAAATAGTTTACAATGAGCTTATACCACAGTCCTGAAGTTACATTTTTTTCAAATGAAGTTGTCAAGATTTTTTTTTATTAACGGACCAAGCGGAAAAGATTTCAAAATGTTTCCAGTTAATTTCTCAAAAACATTTAAAGTGTACATAAACTGTTTAATACCATTTTTTCTGTTGGGCAACACTGTACGATTGATTTTTCATTGTGGTTGTATTTCAGAGAATACAGGAAACGCCACAATGTCCAACTCATATCTGATTTCATCAATGACTGGAACTGTCGTCCATTTTACTTTACTTTTCAGAATGTCCTCAACGTCCCTACGTATGACCGGTCAGTCAGATACGCATCTAGTCAAAAGAACTTTTAAAACAAAATATAAGAAACAAAAGACAAAAATATTTCAATCATAAATAACATTTGAATTTATTTCAATAATCATTCAGCAAGTAACAGTCTTTGTTTTATAAACATCGGCAAGATATGTAAAAAGATTAAAAAAATAAAATGTATTAGTATCAGTAATTAAAGTAATCATGTTATATACAGCACTTATTCTGGAAGATGAAATATATATTGCTATGATATATGAATAGATATATATGAAAGGGTAAATATATTTTTAGAAATATACTACTTATATGATAAAGCTATAGAACTATGAAAATATGGTTATATATATATATATAAATTGGTTTATTTCAGCACTAGTTTGAACCTAAATTGAACGGTACTTCTTTACCTGTGTGAAACAGGTCAATACGTTCAATTTTGCTCCACAGGTGTTCCCATATCAAACCGATAAAACGAACGCTATTAGTATTCTTATTGTGCCAAATATATATTTGCTGTTTCGAATAATTATGATCACTTACAAATAGCGCTTGCCACCTCTAACACATGAATAATGTAAACATTTAATCAGGTTTCTTTCTTCAGTTTATGTATGATAATTCTTTGTATAAATGACACAGCATTATTCAATACTGTGGATATAGCGCCATCAAATTTTGACATATTTAATTGGCAGAATTCTATCTTGATAAAATTTATTGTATTTCTATATCTTAACGTATTTCCTTTCCTATGAGATTCATATCATTGTCATGAGCGGAGGCAACCAGTGCAGAGTATATGGGCTCATCTGTATTCAAACCAATTACAAGCAAATGCAGTCCGACTTGCCTCGCACCAAAATACTAAGTTTAAAGTGGATATCATAACATTATAAAGCAGACGAGTGCCACTTCATATACCTTAATCTATGGATCTGTCGACCATTTTTATGTTTGTTATTAAAAGTGACATGTTCGTTTTTATTTATAATATATACCAAATTCTAAAACCTATTTTGTTTACGGTATATTATTTCAATCGAAGTGTTTAAACAGTTTTAGAAAACAAATTTAATATGTACAAACAGTTTACTGTTGTTGTGGCATTTATTTTGAGTTTATGGATACAGCAACCTCGATATGTCGATGTCGAAAAAACCTAATGACATTCAAGTTGCAAGTTTTGTCAATAAGTTTAAATGCATAGCAAATAAGTGCAAGAGGACTAAACAGGCTTCAGAGTATCAAAGATTGTTAAAAAAGGACAACTAAGGGATAAATATCAACATTAAATGGAGATAGAGAAACAAGCTTCATCAGATACGGGATATGTTAACGTATTCATTCTATTGCATTTAGTGTCCCTTGCCTTGCCATGTACTATCCAAGGGGTAGTGCCATAAACACTGCAAGTCTCGCGTTTGATTGTTTGGAACGTAACACAAAGATATACTCCTGTTTAAAGAGGATTAACTGAGCATGTCACGAAATCATTTTTTTATATCATTATGGCATTTATTACCTACGCTGTACATACAGTTCATTCTTCCATAGCGCTACGTCCACCGCTTCAGTTCTCGATAAGGTACATGACTCAGAAGCTACAGGTTTGAAAGGTTTTGATATTCTCTATTGTTGTCAACATTTGCAGTGTTATAATAAATTTTCGAAAATTCTCAACTGTATATAATATTGCACATTAGTATTCATATAATATTCATAACATTCATAATAGCGTTGGGCAAGATATAAAAATGTAAAATTAAACTGGAATTTTTGAAGTAACGGTCTAGATTTCAATTCATTATTCATAAAACGGTATATAGGAATCAGGAAAAATGAATGATACCTTTTATTGGTTAAAAGTCCTAAAGAAGAGAATAACATAAAACGTTGCGATAGTCGATGATTTGACATATGCATAACTTATAAACTCATTTTATGCAAGATAACATCGACAGTGTCTGGCTTACAACGTTTATTAAAAATTTGGTGGAAACGCTTTTGATGTTGAACGCAATAAGATAAAAATTCAAAAATAGTATTTAATTGTTTGAAATAATAGCAACAGCATTAAGAAATATCTTAAAATCTTTGGTTGGGTTTTATATACAAAGAGTTAGTAACAGGAAATTATATTACTTGAAGATATTAGCAGAGCGATACATAAACATATTAAACTTAATAACATATACTAGACTTAAAGCAATTAAAAACATTTTGAGATCAAAAACATATAAAGTATATTAACAAGTAATAAAACTATCATTTGAACACAAATTATGTATATTGCAAATGTCTTTATAAAAACGCCTTAAAACGAGAATACACGTGTTATGCTATTTTTGCATCCGCATAATGAAATGTCTTTTCTCCACAAGTTCCTGTACCGGTTGTTTACCGAATTTCATAAAAACGTTAACAGAACGTGAATCGAAGTTGACCACAGATGAAACTTGAATTTATGTATATTCACTACTGCATAGTTTTTAATACATAGTTTTGCTAATTTTCAGACAAGGCTGAGCAATGTAGGTAGATGTGTACGTTGTTAGAGACAAGTCTGGATCAATACTGTATTGCGCATTGACTTAAGGCATTCTCCTCCGCGAATTTAAACTGTCGTTTGTCATAGAACTTCATCAGGACTGGACTTTGGGGGTGGAAGTTTTTAAGGTGCACGTAATGTGCTCCAGGATCACTCGTCGTATGTCCACAGTCTTCACACACGTATAACTTCCTCCGACGTTCCTTGTAAGCAAAAGCGTAATCGGAATTATGGACTTTTCTGCCGTGAGATTCCAGCGAACAGCGCTGGGTGAAGGCCTTGCCGCACTGGTCACACTTGTAGGGTCGGACACCTGGAAATAAATGGATTTATTATGTTACGGTAAATGTCACGCATAATAAACTCATAGCGAAGACTCTTATATCATAAATGATTACCACATAAGCTGTTGTAAATTGAGCTGTAATGATAAATGCTAGTCGCAACAGAACGCGACTGTGATGAAATGTATCGCCATTGACTATATGTTTTCGTTTTAGCATCTACTTGCTAAACACATATTTTTGTAAATAAACATTATAGTTTCCAAGTCAATGTTCATAGTAATTAAAGCAGTCATTGGTACATTGAATTGATTTCGTTTCAACCAATTTAAACATCAATTGATGTATATGTTTTGGTGTGCTTCCAGTGTATTTATTTCCACAGTCTGGAGAGATATAAAGATACCCCTCGTTGTCTATCCCAGGTCTGACTTCACTACTGACTTGTACTATTGTACTTTTTGATTAACACTTCTATATCTTCTTGAAATAACGTGTGACCAGTCATGTATGTTATGAGCCTAGTTGATAATATTTTGTTATACCTAAATCCTTATAAATANCCCCCCACCCCCAACCCCACCCCTCCCAACTTCACAACCTTAAAATGACCAAAAAATAGGGGGCTCATCCAGAACATGTTACTACAATCAGTACTATATACCGGGACATTTTCGCCATAGTTTAATATCTGCCTTTCCTAGCGAGAGCGATTTTAACATTACAGCGAATAGTATTAAGCGATATATTCAACATAGTGATGAAATGCGAAGGGCGAAATTTACATTTGGCGAATATGCATTTCGTCGGCACAGGGCGAAAACTTTACTAGGCGAAAGGTTCCCGGTAAACAGTATAATCCAGATGTGAAAGTTTACATTAGTTCAGCGAAAATACAAACCTGTATGCGTTCGTGTGTGTCGCTTGAGATCAAAGGTATCGTTGAACCCCTTGCCGCAGAAGGTGCACAGGTAGCGCTTAATCTCACTGTGACATTTAAGGTGCCTATTGAGTAGCCGCTGAAGCTGGAAGGACTTGTTGCAGACTTTGCATATATATTTGTCGTCATTGGTCTGTTCGGCTGTAAAGAGAAGAAAAAGTTAAAGGTTAATTTACCGTAAATGTTCGTTTGATTTCCCATGAACCTCTTTCAGTAAAATATTTTGGTGGACACAAACATACAATACATCCTTAACATGACTACATACTGATATATCAGATTCCGTTACAATAACATGCTGGTTCTAGCACATCTACAATTAAATGAATTGTGATTGACCGCTGAACTTTCAAACATATTATTCTGAGATGGTCTGAATATAGTGTTTCCAAATATACTATTCACCAAAGGTCTGAATATACTGCTTTCTAATACAATGCTACAATTCAGCTCAGCGATGGTCTGCTTATAGTGTTTAAAAATAAAATGCTATTTAACGACCGTCTGAATAAAAAAAAAAATCTTGAATACAATAATATTCAGTGAAGCTCTAAATATAGAGTTTCCAAATATGCTTTTTAGTGATGGTTTGAATATAATTGCTGTTTTCAAATATACTTTTCAGCGAAAAATAAAATGCTATTTAACGACCGTCTGAATAAAAAAAAATCTTGAATACAATAATATTCAGTGAAGCTCTGAATATAGAGTTTCCAAATATGCTTTTTAGTGATGGTTTGAATATAATTGCTGTTTTCAAATATACTTTTCAGCGATGGTCTGAATACAGTTTCAAATACAATACTATTCAGCGTTGCTGTGAATATAGTGTTTTCACGTAAAATATTATCTATTGTATGTTTTTTTTAATATATTTTGGTTTCTTTAAAGATGATACTGTTCAGTCAAGGCTGTTAGGGGTACTTATGTTTACCTAGCTCTTCCGTAGCACCGTCGTCCATGCGCATGTGTGCTAGGAGTGGGTTCTTTATACCATATCCGCCGTTAACAAGCTCCACGCCTTGTAAGAGAGATCGCTATAACAAACCAAATGTAAAGGTTAGACACACTATAACATATTGTTTATGCTTCGTGTATGATTTTTTTCTCTCTCAAAGATCACAAATAAATGGTAAAAATAACATTCAGAGTAATTTGTTCCGATACCAGACAAGATATCTTAATTTGTTTACACTGATATCGGGTTACTTCTATGACAATGTCTTACTGAGGATTCACTTAAATGCAAAAAAGAAAAAGAAAGAAAATCTATCGAATTCTCCATCACTTAAATGCGAGTATTAAACACAAAATAGGTCACAGTTATTCAAATACGACGGAATGCCAAGATACTAACCCTCATAAGAGATGGTGGAGGATATTGTTCATTGTCCACGGTACATTTTGTTTCAACTTTCATTTTCGCTTGATAATTGTCTGAATTGTTCGGAAAACCCGGAGATTGGAGACGATCCTTGCCCATTAGCTCCTGCTGCTGACGTCGAACCTCCTTCATGGACAAATCTAGCTCTTGTTCCCGCGCTGGACTGATGACTGGGGTAACCGGTGATCCAGGAGAAGCAAGTTCGTGTTGCCGGAAGGAGTAAACCGGAAGTGGAGAAAGAGGGTCAGTCATTCCCATACCACAGCGCAATGAACTCGGAGACGGAAGCATGAAGTTGTAAAGCTTTTGTTCATGACACATTGGAGAGAATGGGTAGCTGATCCTTGGGTCTATTCGGTCTTTATGCATATACCCGTGGCTGAAGGGCTGCAACTTAAGCGTCTTTGGTTTTCGGACTATATGCGAACTTCTTGGTACATCATGTTGGCTTTCCAAATCTGTAGGAAATATAACAAAAGACAAATTTGAAAAAAAAATGAAAGTACAAGTAACAAACTTAAGTCATCTCGTGATAGAAATCCAATTAGGTGACTTAAAGCTGATACCTATAAAGCTTCGATATCCTACTGTTTCTCATTCTGAAGAGAATAAAGCTCTGGTTTAATATTTCGAGGTATCATCATAATTCTATATTCTGAGATTCTCTCTATAATCAAAAATTTGACAATTTAGACTATTTTTAAAAAGGTCATGTTGTGAGATTCTGTTGTTGAATTTAAAGGTCAGATACAAATGTGTGACTATTTTAAAATATTTACAAGATTCCCTAACACACCAGAAAAAGATGGTATTTAAAACGTCATTTGATTCCATGAATGGTCCCTCGCATTACTTATAATAGTTTACTACATTGCATTGTACACCCCGTGGCTTTTTACTCCAGGATATATAATCGAGGATGTGGCTTCATTAAAGAACTTATAAAGCGATTAGATGGATAGTGGCTGGTGTCCTGTGATTTAAAGTAATAACAATGCATAAATAATCGGATCAGTTGTCAGAATCACAGCAGCCCGTTATAATGACATGTGGCGGGGATCCTCCATTGACTCATTCAGTATTTGACACGGAACGCGGAATATCTTCCGCTATGGTATCCGATAAAGACGTTTATTAGCTTATCTCAATATGATAAGATTCGATTAAATTGATCATAACACTTTTCAATTCACAAAATTTTCAGCAGATGATAAGTGTCTGAAAAGGATGCCAGGTTTCAATGATGCTCACTACAGGAATCAAATAACGAAAGCATTCAGGCAATACTCTAACTATTTTGAATACGACAGCTTATAATGTGAGGACTGGTTATCAATTAACCCGTTTAAAAATAACATATACCAAAAGTTAATGGACCATTACACGATAGCAGTCCCCTGTGGGTATCTGGATGGGGCGGGACAATGTATAGAACAACTGTGTGTTTATTTCTGTGATAAGATATGGATGTTTTATTTATCAACAGTGTTTCTTATCAATCATTATCAATCTTCCACTGATATCTTCAATGCGTGTAACGTCGCTTTATTGCAGCATGCCAATGGACCATGAGTGGATGTACAATGTGTGCGCATGTCCAATGGGTCGTGAGGGATTGAGGTGGGGATTGGGTGGGGTTAGGGTTTGGGGATGGTGGGTGGTGAGATTTTTAATGGGGGAAATCTTTCTGGAATATTCTAAATTTGATTCTCGATAGTTTTTAAATCAGCGATATACCAAAATAACGAATCAAGATTACCACTAAGACTATGCAAACTAATGGTTTAGTTCAAAACGATATGTACATATGTACATGGCACATGTTGGTATAAATTTCAGGTCAGAGGATAAAAAAAACCCAACACTAACTCAATAGTATTAAATTATATTCGTTGATAATACATCATTATATGCATATTCATCGGAATGATCTAGGGGTGTTTAACATTGCAATTTAAAACTACATTTTTCATCACAACTATCTATTTCTATGTTTTCTTTCTCGAAATTCATTTATCCTGTTCGTGGAGTTGTATATTTATATGCCCTTGATATTTTCAATGATATCTTGAAGTTATAAAAAACTCTTTTCGCCGACTAATACTGTCGTAATATTATCCATTTCTAGACAAAACGATTATAAAATTAGAAACTGTTTCTTAACATTTGTACATTGTCATATTATGTGTACACTGTATTAGGGTATTTTTGGATGCTGTCATTTTAGTCATTGCATAAATTTATTCTCTAATGATTATTATGCAGTCAGCTTGACGGAAGAATAAACAAGATGCACAGGTGATATTAAAAATTCAAATAATTTTGATACTGAATTATGTATTAATTTAAATTTAAAATTTAAATAATAATATTCCGGCAAACTAAATATGCATACTCATGTCATTAAAAGGAAGAATCTAAAAAAAAGCCAGCTTACGTGTTTACGTTGCTCGTTTAGTCTGTACGCTAGCGGATACCCAACGGCTGAACGTATTACTGTAATAGTGTTCTGTTTAGCCCCACCCGAATAACCCCATCACCATAAATATCAAATATACAAGATTTTATCACATTTCTTTAATATACAGACTGACACCTTTTATGTAGAAAGATAACTATTGTCGGCCGTCGAAATGAATGAAAGAGTGTAAAACTTTCTATTAATATCCATGTCATTTAAGTCAATTTTAAAACGTAAAATGTTTTATGAAGAGTGGTCTGTATGAGTTTAATTTAAAAAAAAAACACCTGAACGCTTTATAAAATTGTATCATATGTCATTTTCACTTAATATTTACAAAAAAATGATACATTTTTATGACCAAATATACCGTCATTTCAAGAAATGATACTGTATCGTGATTTGCAAAATGTTAGTTCTTATTTTTACCTAATACATTATTTTAACAAATTAAATTGTCTTTTTGACTCCTTGTAATGAACTTGTCATTTTTACTCCCTAGCAGATACAATTTGAATCCTTTACCATGCCAAAAAGTATTTTGAGAAATTACAATTTTAGACCAATTTTTATTCATTACGCAAGTTAGAGATAAAGACAATGCAATTGAATGGTTCCATTTTCGATTTCCAGGTGCAAGAGAAATTGATACGAGCGACATTCATCTGACATAGATCTAGAATTAGGTGTGATTGTACTATATTGTCAGGATAAATACTCCTATCCCACACGTGTTAAACCCGAGTTCATGTCTTTGATAGTTTAACGTATTGGCGACAGGATACCTTGAAATTGCGTACATAAACAAGTTTATCAAATGGTCAAGATGTGGAAAAACACCATCTATATTCATGAAAACTGTTACTTATTAAACACTAAGACGCAATGAACATTCTCCACTCTTGCCTATTCATGCTACACAACTACTAAATCGGGCCTCGCCGTGTCCTGTGCTGTCCTCATTGTTACGTACTACAGGGATTAGCCAAGGCTCCGTGATTCTCCACATGTTATTGAGATCAATCCCTGCCCTCAACACGACCATCCAATTATCTTTACAGTAAATTCGGAAACGGATTGTTGGGCAGTTAAGATGTTGTTTTGAAAAGCACGTAAATGTAATTATTTCCGATAGGGACACCCCAAACCGTCCTCACAGGTGTATAAATTTTAATCCGGATCCAAACTTCAGTTATTTTCTGATGAACTGTTTTTTTTTTAAATAGGGTAGAGAACTTCATGATTTAAACACAACGACGTTCAAAATTCAGTGCAATTATAGACGAATTACTTGAATATAGAAACATGTACTAGAAAAATAAACGCGACACACACACACATACACGTGATTGAATCTATAAAATGTGTTTGTAGATATAGATGTGCCAAAACTGAATTCCAATGCATCATACAGCTGTTTCGTTCTAGGAAACATCGGTGATGCTAGGGACCGAAAAGGTGGAAATTCAAATTCTACTATCAAAACAGAGAAGCAGTTACGTGAAAACCTTTAATAACGTAAGTGACTTTACGTCAAATACATACTAATAATGGACCGGTAGAATGGGATGTTACCCGTTATTCTCGTTTAAACTGGCATACACATCATGAAACGTATAGTATGTGACATCGATTATTAGGGTTTATTTTCACAAAAAGAGAAAGCTTTGAACTTCGATCATTTTAGATTTGCTAACGGACATTGTCTCTGCAATATATATTTGGAGACATTACCACCTGGTACCCCCGTTTTCTCACGACAATAGCGCTGTTCTGTACACGAATAGTACCTATTGTAGCTCGCTTTCACCCCTAGTAACATTCCTGTGGTCAATTTCACATTACCTGTATTGTAACACACCGTTAACATGGAAACCGGTTATTATTGGCACACTGCCCACTTAAATATTTCAAACGAAATTAAAAGTAGTGTTTGTTTAGTTTTCATTTCTGTTTATATAGGAGAAACTATATTTCGGAGAATGTAGTTTTTGCGCTCAGCTGAAGTCTTTAAAAAGATATTCGCCTGAAATTTGGAGGAATCTTTGTAAAGCGTTATAGAGGAAGAGATATATTGTAATCGCCTGAAGGGTAATCTACTCTTCTTATCGAAATAGGTACAAACTGTTCAGGGTAATTTGAAATTCTGTTGAACAGAATGAACAAAAATGTGTTCATCCTGGATAAAACAAGAAAAAGAATTGTTAGAAATTAATACTTTGAGCGTACATGATGTAGTTATTGAAATTATTAATATTTTATTGAAATTATTAATATTTTATTGAAATTATTTATTATTAACATGAATTCAGGTAGTTCGATGTCTTTCAAATATAACCTCCTGTAGATTTTATATTATCATAGAGTACAATGGGGTCAGGAATTGGTATTATAGATTTTGTGCTGCATAATTAAAATGGTATTACACCATAAATGATCTTTATTACACTATAAATGCAAAATAACATGGACATACAAATGTATAACATACAATCTCTATCATCCAGCACACATCGCTACACATTAATTGTAACGAGCCCTCTCGTTCCCTTACGAAGGGGTATGCGAGAGAAAAAAAATGAAAAGAACGGATTATGCAGGTGTATCTCAGTTGTGTAATCTGCCTACTAAGAGTACATAGACAATTATAGGTTACCTATGCCGAGTTAGATGTACCGTAAGACGGGAGGCATAACAGAGTGGGTCATTTCTTCGTGTTCCCAGCACAACAAAGCAGATAATGCAAAGAGTACAGGTATTCCAAGGACGCCCATACATATATTATATCTTTGTTTTCATCGACATGAAAAATTTGATATGCTTCCAGTTGTTGAATTATGTAAGTTTGGAACTGCCTTTTGTGTACTTGTGACATTTTTGTGTGAGAAGAGCATATCTGACCAGCTATTTGCCGTACAATTATCTGATGACAAAGGAAAAGATGATGGTGTTAGCACGGGACGCGCACAAAATGTTTATTCAAACAAAAGTTCTTTTTGACAACTGTTAAACTGTGTATCCATACCGTATAACTGGTCACTTCCTTTCCTTTTGTTGTATGTGACATGCACGAACAGACAGGATCGTGACAATTGTTTAGCTATCTTTTCATCGACTATTTTGTTACCAGTATGTCCTGTTTAGTTTCCCCTTCGGTATTGTTGCTGTTACACTCGATGGGTTATGTATCAATAACACTGAACTTTGAAATAACGGAAACGTTGAAAATCTGAACCAGACACACTATTCATAACAAAACAGCCCCGAGCACAAGAAGATTCGCGTATGATACTATTGAAAACATTTTTATCGTATGTACCGCAACTAGTTTCAATCACTGGTGTTTTTCCTCCTGTGGCTAGTTATTATAAGTTCGTGCTGATGGGTTGACAGCCCATCGCCGACGTCCCCTTAATAATCACCTCGTGGACCAATGTTGATATTTATTGAAACTTTCTTTTCATAGACTGGCCTCATTAGCCAGGTTATGAACTGAGTAGCCAGCGGAGAGACAGGGAGATAATAGCGTTTGATTTTACCTTTAAGTTTTACCTGATAAGGATTTTCTTTAAAAGACACAGTAACAGTCTTAGTGAACATAATGTACATTTGGAGTGGGATAGATTAGTCCGAAACTTAAGAATCGTCAGTAGCCTACAGTAAGAACAACGTTTGTTCTAACCGAACGACACATATGCACACACACCTCAACACGAATCTTACCTCTTCCTTAATTCTAATTTATTCACAGTTACCTTAGTCAACGATAATGCTAAACACATGTGCTTATGGACATTTCACATGGGTTCGAACCACATTGACATCACCGAATCTTCATATTTAAATCGTTGCCTCCTTTGAATGTTATAATGAGCTATCTATATAAAAATAGATTGCTATTTATGAGATGTAAGGGTATAGGGTCTCTGGTGACGTCGAGGAAACACTTCAGCCAATGTGATTTAAGGCAGGTGTTTTTTTACCCTTAAACGTCTTAAAAATCACCTTTAATTTTTACAGGTATCTGTCAGTAAATTCTAAACACCCATACATGATCCAGGGATAAAGTTAACATCTTTCAAAGTAAGGTATCAAAGTTACAAAACGTATCCATTTAATTCTTACCGTAGTAATCTTGAGATTTACAAAATATCCGGTTGATGACTCGAGTTTACATAAGTGAGTTTTTAAAAAAGAAATAGATCACACAACAATTTTAACATTGTGCAATAGTCATCACGTGACTAGATTTACAAACGTGTTAATATTCTTTAAATTTTTAATGTTATATTTTCAAATATTCATGTTTAATTATGAAACCTGCTATATTTGTAAGTTTAAATGTATAATGAGTGTACACCTTGCCCTAGCCGGTTATTAATGTATTTACTTACGCACTACCACGAATAAGACCATTCTTGCATGAACATTGAGTTTTAAATAACAGTATTACATAACATCCGTGTATACGAACAGCGAGTAATATACGTAACTTTTTATTGAAAAAATCAACGTAATTAAACATACATTGGTCTTTTATTTATGAAGTCAATTACTCATCACGATTTGTTTAACTGTCCGCAAAACATATTGTTTTTTTTTTATCGTAATGATCTCTTTAACTTTTGTAATAATTACGAAAATCTAAGAGATATCACTTATTCTACATAATGTATGTAGCTTAGCGCCATAAGTTTTATTAAACGAAGGTGTTCTATATCGCGCAGATTTCATCTGTAAGGGTAGACGTATCTTATAATTTGTCCATCCGATTGGTCATTTGGATATTGCTACACTGTTGGACGGTATGGATACACTGTTGGGAGCGTATTGTTCCCCGTCTCTCCGGAAGGAGATGTCTATCGCGGTCCATTTACATGGTACGTTTAGCACACATATAAATCAGCTTGACAAGGAAACATTTGTTTTAATAATTGTATAGTTCTTGCTATTGCTATTTGTTTGCGGATTCAATATGAAAGGTTTTGTTCCGATTCACCTTGTACTCTTGTATACTCATGTAGAATAGTTCTTATTAAGGTTTTAGTTTTATAAATCATTTTCATTTTTTGTAAATTTCATTAAGATGACTATGCTTTCTGAAGCTTTCATAAAGCCCTAATGTCGGGTATCAAATTAGCACTTTCTTAAGGCTGGAGTAGGGCTATTGTACCGGTGTTCAATTAGGAGATACTTCATATGGTACTCCAGAGGAGTGACAGCGCGCTTTTTTCTCTCTCTCAAATTCACACTACCTATCTCGAATTCCGTTTTGTATCGTTACAAATTGTTGGCTGTGTTGTACGCGACTGATCATGTGTGACCATGGTCATGGGTAAAGAAAACCATTAGGTCTATACCGTTGTTGTCATCTACTATCATTTAACCCTAAAACATATTGTCAAATTTAAAGGTCTTTGTAGTTAATGTGAAATCAGTTTAACTTGTTTATAGCAAGTTTCTTTCCATTGACATTTTTTCACAATTCATAAAAACGAAACAAAACCGGGGAAGGGCTGGATCTGATTATCATCAGCCAGTCTCTCATCGCATTCTTCCGCCTGTTTCACTAGCATACTTTTACACAATCAAAATAGCATTATCTGATTGGTTACTTATAACACCAATAAAAATAAACAAAAAAATGTAAACAATCATCAATGCAAAGAGGAAATGTGTGATTGAATGATTTCTGGATTTTCTGATAACAACGGGAAGGTTTCGAGGTAATGATGCTTGGCGAACAGATCTTTTGTTTTCAATATCGATGTATTTTATGATAAACTATACTAAGATAAGAAATCTTAACTGCTTTTGTTTTAAAAAGTGTTAAGCTTTTCGTGAGATAGTTTGAGTTGGCCTTGAGGTTTTATATGTTTGCAGTCGGGGCACAAACCAGTGGGCCTGTAATATATATCAGAACTACGTATGCAGATCAAGCCAGTTACATATGTTTAATTTAAAATCAACCAGTGCTCCAAATTTTGAAATTCATAAGCTTATGGTATTTACGCACATCCCCTTCTGTTTCATCAGTAGCTTAGACCAATTGTCCCCCTAGCATCACTAATGAGTCCTAGAAGGCCAAAACAGCTGTATGACGTAGTTTTGTCATTGACTATCTTTTACGAGAGGTCCAAAGTGCGATCACATGTGGATGTGTTATGTCCATCTTACGCAAACAAATTTAGTAAGTTTTCGGAACCAATACTATCAGTGATATTTCACAAATATTCATTTTGTGCATTGCTGTATGAAATACCAGCATTAATGAAATCAGTTGAACATTTTAAAATGATGTTTCATCACATTCAGTCTTTCAATTAAACTGTTAAATCTTCTTAATCATAATCTCTTTGGACGTTCTCAAATTATCAAAACATTAAGCTAAACAAAAATTATTGACAATATTTTCCGTTATCGATAACAATTTCAAACTTTTTTGAAATTGTTTTCATTGCATAACTGCACAATGACCGTATGAAATACATTTTTATGATGTTCATTAAATGAAATATCCTATATGCTGACAACAATACAATTAGCACTTTTATGTTCCATCATTTTTATTGGAGGCTTCAAGTCATTAACTCATAAATTAATTGTTTATTTTCATATCTTTATTTGATATTTATAAACTAACTTTATTCTTTACTCCAACTTCCTTACATTTTACGTCCTGAATTTTTTCCCATGGAATTAAATAAGATAAGGGGAAAATATTTTGTTCAGATGCTTACCTTGCCTAGGTTCCCGTTTTAGTTCCGCCCCCTCGACAAGCGGAGGCGTGGGTGCCCTGGATTCTGCTAGCTCATTATATTTTGTTTCGGCTGCAGCGGCTGCATGCTCCTCGACATGGCACAGCTGATGTCCATCTTCATTAGGTTTCAGTTCAAGATTTTCTATATGCTCTTCCTGTTCCTCTCGCACTTGCTTCTCCTTTTGTTCCAGTTGCTGCTGCTGCTGCTGCTTTTTGAGATACTTTCGCACAAGGAAAGACCTCGGCATATTGTCACGTTATCTTGTAAATTTCTAGTGCTAGAGTCACTTCCTCAGAAAAATCACATCACCTTTTATATTTTTTAAACTTAGAAAAAATATCTTCCCACGTCTATAAAACAAAGATGTATTATTTCAAATTAATGAAACAGATAGTTTATCTCATCCAGAAGAAGTCGGAGGATGTTTCCCGATGCTGTGTATTGATGGCCACCCGATATACTATCTGGTAAGTAGTAGCGCGATGAGGCTAGTACTTGTCCTTACGGCTGATTTATAACACTGTACCAATAGACTGGGTGAAGGCTGCTTTAAAACTGTTTCTAGTTGAGGAAAGAACTTGGTAACGGTATGGTTGTCACCTTGTATGGAGCGGTCTTGTATGGTGACCAGTGGCGCATGACGTCGAATCTTGGATTCATTGAGAAAAACTTGTTATCAATGCGTGCGCATCTACCTGACAAAATTATTTACTGACGATTGATGCGGACGTCAGACGCAAGCTCAGTCAGCTTGAAAAAGTCTTTTCAACGCTCCAAACCAACATTAATGTACACAGTTAAAGTCTTAAAACACAGCCTGGTAAGTTTATAGTATATCTAAGCTGGTGCTGTACCGGAACTGGTGTTTCGTGAACGTTTAGAACATTTGCAGTCTACATTCTATTTCGGGAAGTTACTCTATAGCGTAAGAACGGTACATGGGTAACGTAAGCGGGTGGGATGATCTGTTAAAGGGGTAAGTCTCTATGTAAGACGCCTACTTCATCCCTCAACAGGTTTAAAGAGGTGGATTGGGATGCGAGGGGTCTGCTCAGAAGAAAAAGGCTGTCTGGTTTTATTTCTCTTTTGGGAATCGCCAGAAATAGCTGTAGAAATCGCTGTCGTGTTTGTAACATTGGTAGAGGCCTTAAATAATCACATTAATGCAAGCAAAATTACGTATGATGTCAATTAACGCGATGTATTTGTATATTTATATATTAGCCAACTACATGTATCACCACAGTGATTTAAATGTAAATCCGTAATATTTTTTTTCAAATATGAAATCTGACAGCACTTTCATGCTATGAAATCCATACTTACTGTCAACTCCAATTAATCACGTCTTTTTAGGAGGTTTGGAGAAAATTCATATTAAATATTAGCCCTTACATTTTTTACTTTGATACATTGAAGCCTGTGTGATTCAGCACTGTCAATATATTGCCTGTGTGGTTTTGCTGTTATCTGTCATTATGCGGGTATCACCCTTACTCGTTATTATTAAACAGGTGGTGTAAAACACCCTACATTAGCTATTCATATTTCATAGATATAAACTTACAAACTGTTACTTATTTTGGGGAACATCTTAATGGGTGTTTTTTTGTATTGACTTCAACCTAAAGACATACGTAGATAATTAACGGATGTGGTTTATTTCTGTATCTCTACAGAATATATTTTGTTTATGTTTACAAATGTGTGGGATAGGTGTGTTAGGACAGACATATGTTTATGGTAGCGTACTACATTGATATATGACCAATTATGTACCCACACTGTTGAGCAGTTGATATTTCTTCTATAAACCGCCTCTCAATGACATTTTGTATCAACCACAACGTGAAAACTATAAAATAAGAATAACTATGGATGTGGTTTATCCTTTTTTCTTTCTTTTTTTTATTAACAGAATATTCATTTTTATGTTTATTATTGTGTGGGTTTGGTATCTAAGAAGATAGAGGTGAACTTTACATGCACATTGATAAATATCATATTACATAACGACATTGTTGATCAGTGGAGGTTTCTTTTAGAAATTGCTTAAATCACTGAGATATTTCCTTTGACATTTCTCAGTTATGTATACGTCATGCATCTAAACATTAACATTCTATTGATAAACTACCTACGCGCGGTGAGCGTTTAACGTTCATGTGCATTGATTATGTAAATTATCGATCATCAATAACGTTATGGGTTGTTTGAATGAGACAAGTCACAAGTAGACGAGTACCTTGTCATTTTATCTGTCTGATATTCGAGACCGTTAAATGGTTCTTTCACGTTTATGAAAGATTGTACGCTAAATTAAAGATGGCGTTTAAAAGCGTAGTGAATGTTCAACTCGTGTTTATTTGTCATAGAGACCATTTCAGCTAACAAAAACACCAAGAAAAATCATTTAAGGTATAACTTGATAGGTATAGTATTTTGGACAACAAACACTACATATTTGCTTGCAATAATCAGTTGTCATGAAGTACTTATAACTGTATTTTTATAGAGGTGAATAAGTGCTTAAACGGATCAAAGCAAGTGATTTTGTCCGAGAAGAAAAAACTGATGAACACAAAAACAGTTCATTTTAACACAAGTTATCAGCCATTAATTGTAAAATTTCGTATCAAAATGTTTTGATACCAATATTAAATCCTACATTTTCCACTGATGTCATATGGGCATTTTTATAAGATATTTTCAGTACATAAGTAATTAAGATATGTCATATTCTGAATATTGAATTTTCGTGTGACCTTGATATTTTACATGTAAATCTCTACAGAGAACAGGACCATGCAAATAAAGGAAGTCTTGCTGACCCTGTCATAGAATGTAGCTGTGTTTACGTTGATACACCATATAACAGGCGTGTTTGAATCGATGACGTCACCACCACTGGGTTGCGGGTTCGAGGCCTACGTGGGGCAGTCGCCAGGTTTGTACTGGCCGTAGATGGGTGGTTTTTCTCCAGGAATTCCGGCTGTCCTCCACCATCAAAACCTGGCACGTCCTTAAATGACAATAGCTATTAATAGGACGTAAAACACAAACAAACAAAAACCATTACACTGCATCGTACAGAAGTTTCGTCCTACTAGGTCCCATTGTTGATGTTAGGGGACAAACAGGGGAATTAGTTGGCAAAGAAAAAGCCCTTTTCGAAAAAGGTAGTTCATCATATTAAGCGACGTATTTTATAGAATTATGGTTATTCAAATTTTGCATGTTTGACAATAGAAATAAACACAAGAACTTTACATTGCAAAGCCTATACTTCACTAATGTTGTGTTCTCCCACCCTTCACAGGTGTGTCTCCTGTTTTAGTCGGGAGAGATCAGTTTTTCTTCCACCCTTCACAGGCGTGTATCCCGTTTTAGCCGGGAAAGATCAGCTTGTCACCCCCTAGGGAGAGATAGCCTCGTGCCGATAAGCACGTATTCAGTTGTGACGTCATTAAAATGCGTCATTAGTAATTGTGACGTCATCAAAAGTGAATGACGATATGCATGTTTACAAACATGGCAGATTATTGTCGGTGTAGTTGTGACTGAAATGATAGGATGAGAGAAAAGTAAACATCACCTACCTTTAGGGTATAACAGAAAAATCTCCTACCCTCGGGGTGATTTTTGTTGGTTGTCTAACCCTTTGCAGAGCCTCGGGTTAGACAACCAAAAAAATTGTCCTCCGGTAGGAGATTTCTCTGTCACACCCTCAAGGTAGGGGAAGATTATACTAATCCTGATTCATAAATGCAGGGTATCAACATGAGTGTCCCATTTTATTGGCACAAAGTCTTTAGATCATTTGATTCTGATATTCCGTTCCAAACCGATGTCGATATTATTCTCACTGTACAGTCTGACATAAAATCTACATAAAAGGTTTGAAAAAATTTAGTGGACAACCAATGCAACTAGAACACCTCTTTTCTGATACCCCTTTTCATCCCTTCTCCCAATCCTTTTCCTTTCTCTTTTTGTTTTACCTTTCAATTAATAAGTACGTAATATAAGTTTATCGTTTTGTCATCGTGTAATATGTGTACTTGTTGTATGTTGTATTGTTGGGAGAGGGCCTAGTAAGTTGTAAGAACATGTGCCCAATCCATTTGACTACTCAGTGTCAATACAATAAGGTGAATACAAATACATTGTAGTTTGATAGGGAAAGTGACTCTTAGGAAGAAAGACTCTTCGTGGTTCTATACAGAAGGGAGACTACTCAAAGTTAAAAGCAATCCCTGAGTGGAACTCTTCTTTGTGATAATTATAAATTACGCAGTGGTACCCTTCACCTTAAATATGAAATATATGTCCTGTTACCATAAATGGAGTTGCTACGATATGTCATATCATATAAACAAACGAATAGCAAATAACAACAACATAAACAAACAACTTCACTCGGTAACAAACAAACATGTTTAATAATATCATAACGGCGATTGCATTTTTTAATTACGTTATTACACGTGTTAGGTTAAAGATATCAACATAATAAGAGCGTTTGTATTTAAATAGCTGTATTACACTCTAATAAAGTGAGTTATTGACAACATGCTCTGTTAGGTTTCGATTTATTCTGTTTGATCGATCATCACGAGTATACGTTATTAGCTAAAGCGATTTATGAGATGCAACAGTAACTCTATCTGTTCACTTTAGATTGGTAAAAAATGAAAAAATGCACGATATATGGAGATATAAGTGGTAATAATTTAGAAACAATATAAGATCAGGTCTTGTTAATCCGCTATAATAAATCAGATTTTACTGCTATCCAGACTTTTTTCAGACTATCTGGTGTTAATACTATTCAAATGGTGTTTCATAATATCCAGCCTGTGTTTCAAACAATATGTTTTGTATTTCAGTCTACAAATGTATCAATCTTGTGTTAAGATTACCTATCCAGTGTTTCAGACTTTCTGTTCAGTATTTCAAACCATACATCTAGTGTTTAGACCACCTATCCATTATTTCAGACTATCTTTCCGGTATTTCAGTCTATCATTCAGTATTTTTCGGACAATTAATCCAGTATTTTAGGACTATCCAACTAATATTCACATTACCCATCAAGTATTTAAAATTATCTATCAGGTTTTCTGATTATCTATCCAGTATTTCTGATTATCTTTTCAGTATGTCAGACCATCCATCTGGTGTTAACATTACCTAACAGTATTTCAGACTAATTATCTAGTGTTCACATTACCCATCCTGTATTTCAGTCTATTTATCCAGTTTTTCTGATTATCTATCCAGTATTTCAGACTAATTATCTAGTGTTCACACTTCCAATCCAGTAATTCACACTATCTATTCAATATTGAGTACCCATCCTGTATTACAGACAATCAATCATGTGTTTCAAACCACCAATTTAGCGTTTCAGACTATACATCTAGTGTTCACATTACCAATCCTGTATTTCAGTCTATCTATACAGGATTTCAGTCTATTTATACAGTATTTCAGTCTGTTTATCCAGTTTTTCTGACTATCTATTCAGCATTTCAGACCATCCATCTAGTGTAACGATTACCCATCCTGTATTACAGACAATCAATCATGTGTTTCAAACCACCAATTTAGCGTTTCAGACTATCCATCTAGT